TTCCTCTCATGCTCCACCCCCGCCCCCCATCACCAGTATGGGTCAGCATCCTCATATCAAAGAAAACATTCAGCCTGTGGTTTTGGGGGATTGGTGCTTCACTTAGTATTATATTCTCTAACTTCATCCATTTACCTGCAAATGCCATGATTTTATTCTCTTTTAATGCTGAGTAATGTTCCATTGTCTGTATATACCAAAGTTTCCCTATCCATTCATCTACTGAAGGGCATCTAGGTTGGTTCCATAATTTAGTTATTGTGAATTGTGCTACTACAAACATTGATGTGGCTGTGTCCCTGTAGTAGGCTGTTTTTAAGTCCTTTGGGTATAACTGAGGAGAGGGACAGCTGGGTCAAATGGTGATGCCATTTCAAGAAATCTCCATACTGCTTTCCAGATTGGCTGTACCATTTTGCAATCCCACTAGCAATGTAGGAATGTGCCTTTTCCCCACATCCTCGCCAACTCTTATTGTTGTTTGTATTCTTAATAGCTGCCATTCTGACTGGAGTGAGATGAAATCTTAGAGTAGTTTTGATTTGCATTTTTCTAATTGCTATAGATGCTGAACATTTTTTTCATATGTTTTGTTTTGTTTTGTTTTTGTGTTAAGCTTTTTGAGTGCTTCATGTATCCTAGAGATTAGTGCTTTATCTGATGTGCTTGTGGTAAAGATTTGCTCCCATTCTGTAGGCTCTCTCTTCACTCACTGATTATTTCTTTTACTGAGAATAAGCTTGTTATGCTTTCTTTACCATACTTTTTTTTTTTAAGGCTCCAGGTGTTAGGGGAAGATGGAGTTAATGTTTAATGGGTACAGAGTTTCAATTTTGTAAGATGGAAAGAGTTCTGGGGATGGGCAGTGTTGATGGTTTCACAACGATGTAAATGTACCTAATGCCAGTGAATTGTACACTTAAAAGAGGTTTTAAGATGGTAAATTTTGCTGGGCACAGTGGTGCATACCTGTAATTCCAGCAGCTCAAAAGGATGAGGAAGAAGGATTTTGAGTTCAAAGCCAGCCTCAGCAAAAGCGAGGTGCTGAACAGCTCAGTGAGACCCTGTCTCTAAATAAAATACAAAAAGGGGCTGGGGGTGTGGTTCAGTGGTAAAGTGCCCTTGAGTTCAATCCCCGATAACACCCCATAAAAAAAAGATGATAAATTTTGCTTTGTGTATTTTAAGATCAAATAAAAAATAACCTATATAAATTAATCATAAATTCACTTTACTCCTACGTTTGTTCCACTTTTCCTGATGTAGCACCTTCAGAATCCATTACACAAAATATTTCCAAAGGGATGCCAGTGTAAGTAAGTGAAATACTGCAAAAAAGGTAGGGGTATGGGGTAAGTCACAGAAACACAGAAGGCTAAAAAACTAGATTTGAGACTGCATAGGAAGGAACAATGCCCCAAATCATTTCATCAAATAAATCATAAACCATTCATATGCCACTACCACCAAATTCTGTCATAAACAATATTGTCAATGCAGTCTGCAGTTCCTTTCCTCAAAAGATTAAAAACTAACAAAACACATGTGGTAATTGACAGAACAATCCTATGGAAACTTCCTATTATCAAAGTGCCTTCAAAGAAAATTGCAAGGACCCAATAATTTTTTAACATCTTAAAAATGCATTAATAATACTGTTCAGTTTTAAAAATGAGAAGTTAAATTTACAGAAAAGCAAGAAACCCCAAGAGTGTTGAGTTCCAAATTCCTTTCAATGCCCCAAATTTCATCTGACTTTTGTAATAAAAATGCATACTTTTATATATTATTGTGATCATTGGTCAATTTATCTCTTTTTATTTTTCATTTGATATTATACAAATGTTCTCCGAAGTTCTATTATATGGCTAGGTATAATGAAAAATATAGTGCCTACTGTTCTCTTAAAATAGCCAGCCTCTATGATGCCCACCACTATTCCCCACCTTCTGGTACTCACACTCTGTGGAGTCTCCTACCAACTTGTACCCAGGTTGGTCTGCATGACCAATACAATTCATCAGAAGTGATGATATGTCAGTTCTAATACTGGGTTGTAGGATTTTGGAGCTCTGAGATCTTACTCTGCAGGAAACCAGGTACCATGTTGTGAAGACAGTCAGGAGCCTATGGTGAGGAATCAAGATGAAGATGTTCAGCCAATAGTAGAAACAGAGGCCTCCAGCAACAATGAGTAAACTTGGAACCAGAATCCCCTCCAGGAAAGCCTTCAGTCCCAGGCAACAGCTTAACTGAAACTTCTTAAAAGAATATTAGAGCTGGGGATAGAACTCCGCAGTTGACTACTTGCCTAGCATGTCCAAGGCCCTGAGTTTCATCCTAAGCAAAGCAAAAAGAAACAAACCCACAGAACATTAGCTAGAACTACCCAAGTAAAAGCTCCCACAGAATCTGTGGGATTGTTTTAAAAATAATAAATGAGCATTTTAAAAATGATAAATGAGCTGCTAAGTTTGGGGGCAATGTGTTTCACAGATGCAGAAAACTAATATATATATATATATATATATATATATATATATATATATATATATATAAAACACTTCTATAGGGAAAAAGGAGAGAAAGAGAGCGCAGGAGAAAGAACGCATTCTCATGTATGCCATTCAGGCTGTAAAATGTTAAATGCTTGCAGACAGAAACTGTAGTTCAGACTGTCAGAGGTTCACATAAATTTATGAGAAATAGAACAGTTGCAAAAAAATTAACATGCTCACAACCTGACATACTTCACTACTTCACCCCTGGCCTAAGTAACAAAAATTCCCAACAAAAAAGAACAAAAGAATGAGTGTTTTTTAGGCAGGGGGGCATGATTTGGTTATTGACCACATGTAACAGCAACCAACATGGTTGCAGTAGGTCATGAATGAAAAAGGCAAATACCTGAAAAGGAACATACAAGCCAATATTTTTTGGATTATAAGCAACAGCTCAAAGTAGCTTAAGTATAAAGACAATTCATTGGTTCACATAATTGGGAAGCCCAGGGTTGTATCTATCATTAAAAAATCACTGGATCGGGCTGGGGCTCTAACTCAGTGGTAGAGCTCTTGCCTAGCAAAGGTGAGGCATTGGGTTCGATCCTCAGCACCACATTAAAAAACCAAACAAACAAATTAACAAAATAAAGAACTTAACTGCTATTGCTAGAGCTGTCTCTTCCTCACCTCTTTTTTAAAAAAATTTTTATTGTAATTTATTTATTATGTAAAATATATGACAGTGGAATGCATTACAATTTATATTACACATATAGAGCACAATTTTTCATATCTCTGGTTGTATACAAAGTATATTCACACCATTCATGTTCATACTTAGGGTAACGAAGTCTGTCTCATTCCACCATCTCTTTTACACCCTTTGCCCTCTCCCTTCCCCTCCCTCCCCTTTGCCCTATCTAGAGTTCATCTATTCCGCCCATGCTTCCCCCTCCCAACCCTACTATGAATCAGCCTCCTTATATCAGAGAGAACATTTGGCATTTGTTTTTTTGGGATTGGCTTAAATACTTAGCATTATATTCTCCAACTTCATCCATTTACCTCCAGATGTCATGATTTTATTCTTTTTTATTGCTGAGTAATATTCCATTGTGTATATGTACCACATTTTCTTTATCCATTCATCTACTGACAGGCATCTAGGTTGGTTCCACAGTTTAGCTATTGTGAATTGTGCTGCTATACTCACCCATGTGGCTGTATCTCTGTAATACCCTGTTTTTAAGTCCTTTGGGTACAGTCCAAGGAGAGGAATAGCTGGGTCAAATGGTGATTCCATTCCCAGTTTTCCAAGGAATCTCCATACTGCTTTCCATTGGCTGCACCATTTTGCAGTCCCCCCAGCAATGTATGAGTGCTTTTCCTCCCACATCCTTGCCAACACTTATTTGTTGTTTGTATTCTTAATAGCTGCCAGTATGACTGGAGTGAAGCAGATGGCATGACTATACTAGACCTTAAGCTATACTACAGAGCAGTAGTAACAAAAATAGCATGGTATTGGCACCAAAACAGACTAGTAGACCAAGGGTACAGAATAGAGGACACACAGAGACTAACCCACAAAATTACAATTATCTTATATTAGACAAAGGCACCAAAAACATGCACTGGAGAAAGGATAGCCTCTTCAACAAATGGTGCTGGGAGAACTGGAAATCCATATGCAACAAAATCAAATTAAACCCCTATCTCTCACCATGCACAAAATTCAACTCAAAGTGGATCAAGGACCTAGGAATTAAACCAGAGACCCTGCATTTAATAAAAGAAAAAGTAGGCCCAAATCTCCATCATATCGGATTAGGCCCCTACTTCCTTAATAAGACTCCTATAGCACAAAAATTAGAATCAATAATTAATAAATGGGATGAATTCAAACTAAAAAGCTTCTTCTCAGCAAAAGAAACCATCAGTGAGGTGAACAGAGAGCCTATAACTTGGGAGCAAATTTTTTCCACTTTCACATCAGATAGAGCACTAATCTCTAGCATATATAAAGAATTCAAAAAGCTAAAAAACCAAAATAACAAATAAACCAATCAATAAATGGGCCAAGGAACTGAACAGACACTTCTAAGAAGGTGATAAACAAACAACAAACACATGAAAAAATGTTCAACATCTCTAGCAATTAGAGAAATGCAAGTCAAACCTACTCTAAGATTTCATCTCACTCCCTCACCTTTTTTTTGCTCTATTGTATTTCCTTTTTTTTCAGATAGTCCTTCTCCAAGTACTGAGCAAGATGACCACAGATAGTCCCAACCTCAAAGCCTCCCAACTTAATAACCCAGCTGGAAAAATAAACTTTCTCTCAATGTCTGTGTATAAATCTCAGGGAAAACTGTTTCTAGTCGGTTTGTGTTGCCCCCCGCCCCACCCCCACCTCAAACCAATCATTATGATGCAGGAATTGGGAGTAACAGGATTGGTCTGGCCCTGGAATATGTACTAGCAAGCGGGAGATGGCATGGGTGCCGGGAGTGAGCAGACACCGGAGACTGACAGTTCCAGATCACATGGAAGAGGGGAAGGAAGTGAGCCCCAAGGAAGGGGTGCTAGCAGATCCAAATAACTAGCCCCCAAATGTGAGTATAATTGACACAGGCGGTGAGGAGGCTGGCGTGGTAAGAGTGAGTAGGGAGAAGCACAGAGACCTTATTTTCTAAACAAGGCCAGGCTGGAGGCGGTCTGTAATTATAGAGTTTGTTGTTGGGGTGATGGAGGGAGATGGGATGGATTAAAATATGAAGCTCATAATGACTACATCTCTGTATCCCTCTTTTCCACAGAGAGATATTTGAAGATTAAATGTGAATAAAAATGGATGATGAGAATGCTTCAATTTTCTCAGGTAAATCATGAAGTTCGGTGCCATTAGAAAACCATCTCCAAGATAGTTTTGATTTGGCTAGGCTGTGACCAAGCCTGAAAAGCTCTGATGGTATAAAAGAAATTGAAATACGTGTGTCACATTTGCTCAAGAAAGGGAGCTAAAGGAAGAGACAAAGCAGCATCAGCCATCTGGTTAGGAGGTATGCAAGCTGCTGAGTGAATTTGGAAATAAAAGGGGGCTTTAGTCTCCTAAGAGGGGTGGGCAGTGTAAGAGTCAGAGATTCCAAGAAACAGAAAGGAGGTCAAGAGTCAGGACAGATACAATGCTTTAAACCCCTAAATCCAGCAGGAGCATTATGCTTTCCTGTTGCTTACTTACCACACAGTTCTTTCCTTCAAAATAGTCCTACCCAGTTTCTTCTCTAAAACATCTACCAGCGTACCTCTGCAGGGAGAAGCTATTCCAGGAGTTGTGTGACCGTCCATAGGATGCATTGCCATGAGTCAGAGCTTACCTGTTAGGAATTAAGGAAGAGGTTTTGATGACATGGGACCCAACAACCATGACTCCTAGAAACCTGCTGGGGCTCAATCCTCTTTCACCTCTGAGAAAGAGGTTCATGAGGAAGCAGCACATTCAAGGGTCACTAAGATGAGAGATCAGATACCATTTTTGCATTCATCTGAATAAATGCTCAATTTATTGAGAGTGCGGAGGTCTGGGAAGCGAAGTCTTCAAGGGTCTTTCCCTCCCTGTGACACACCAAAATCATCTCACCCTGGGTACTGCCACATTGGACAAGAAATCCAGTCATGCATGGTGGTGCACATCTCTAATCCCAGCTCCTGGAGGGAGTGAGGCCAGCCTGAAAAAATCAGTGAGACCCTGTCTCAAAATGAAAAATAAAAAGGGCTGGGGGTGTACCTCAGTGGTAGAGCACCCCTGGGTTCAATTCCCAGTACCAGAGGGTAAAAAAAGAAAGAAAATAAGAAAAATACAAAAGAAAGAAAAGAAAGCAATAAAAGTCTGCCCGGCTATGTGTTTAGGGAAAAGAAGACAAGAGGTCAGATTCTAAGAAGAGGCCCTGACTCACCTTACCTATTCCTGATATACGAAGTAGAAGAGAAAGCTCAACAGGGATTGGAACCGCTCTTGTTAAGTGTGGACCACTTTATTTCCTGGAATCTGACCAACACTGCTGAACACTCCTCTGGGGAAAAAGGTAAAAACTTGGAGAGAACACTAGCTCCAACACTAGCTCCTCCTAACACGCACCATGGACCAACAGGATCAGCATTGCCTGGTAGCTTCTTAGAAATACAGAATCATGGACTCCGGCCTACACCAATGGAATTAGAGAACTTCATTTTTTTAATAAGATCTCAAGGCAATTCATACATATGTTGAAGTCTGAGAAGCACCGCTTTTCTGACTCCTAAACATATGCTCAGGTTTTCTGTCATTTGGATCTTTGATCATGTCCTAAATTAGTGCTCTGCATATGGTCAATAGATAATGAAAGAAGGTTTGAGAAATTCTCACTGACGCTTATTTACTTCCATTTGAAGGGAAGAGATCATTTTTGAGAAGCTACAACACACCAGACAGTGGCTCAGACAGAGACAGAAGTGTACTAAAAACAAGCAAATAAAACATTTTCAGATGCACACAGAGCTCTGCCGAGTAGGACAGATGGGCATAGTAATTCTCCTCTCACTCCATCCTCCCGCCCATAATATTTCCCTCCTTCTTCATTCGCATTCTCTTTTATGTGAGCTAGTACTAAGCTCTTGGGTTGAGTCTGCTTTGTACATAGTGTTGTACCACGTGGGTTACAACACTATGTACAAAGTGTTGTATCTTGCAGCCCTGCCCTCAAAGTAAAACTCTCAGAATGGGATACTATACCACTGAGCCGGGACATAGGGCTGGGAGGGGAAGCAATTGTAGCACATCGATAATTGTCTCACCTTTAATGATGGTGACCATCCGGTCCTGGTAACCCAATGCATGTCTTATTTCTGACAGTACCAAATCCCAGGCCTGGAGTTCATCCAACAATTGTCCTCTGTGTCCCTTCCTACCTGAGGAACTTTGCACACTGGTAATGATGAAGATTCAGAGCACCCAACCCCAATTTCTTCTCTCTGCTCAACCGGATAGATCACTTGGCAAATATGTATGGATTAACTGGAGTTCTGCCACAACATTATGGGATCCAATGATGACAGAATTTAACCAGCAACAAAATTACCACCTGTTGAACACTCACAAGGTGCTTGGCAACCACCCTATAAGGCAAGCACCATCCCCCACTTAATAAGTAGGGAAATTTGAGGTTGTCTAAAGTTGAATAACTTGTCCAGGAAATAGTAAAGATAGATTTCCAGCCCACACCTGCCTGAGTCCAAAGCTTCTTAAACACTGAACCATAGGTTGGCTCAGTGAGAAGAGAATCATTTCCCTCTCTGAGGCTAATGTGAGAATCAAGTGAGATTGAAGACAATAAAGCACTCAGAAAAGTTAGGTACTCAGAAAACATAAGGTATAATTTAGTACCTTAAGAGTGTGTCCAGCTGGGTGTGGTGGCACATGCCTCTAATCCCAGCAGCTTGGGA